GATTATCATTGTCTTTACATGGCTTCAATTATCTATTTCAAGAGCCAGGACTTGGACCTCACCTTATTGTGTCCTCCAGATTCCCTTAAATAGCAAGGGGCAAGAAGTGAAACTGAGAGAATCCACCAACATCTCTCTTCTGGGGCATTTCTTTTACCTCCTCTATAGATCTTACCTGTCTTTCTTGGCCTGGTTCAAGGATTTCCAACATTTTTTTCAGGTACAGGATCTCTTTTCAGCTTCCAACTACTTTGAGATTTATAACCTGATGGCATTTTTTAGTATTTAATATATACAGACAAAATACAACTCTCAGTTCAGTAGAGGTTTTAAAAGACTTTATATTTTATTCATTCCAGTAGCTTCCACATCTATTTGAGGTATAATTTACATATATGTATCTATGTGTGCAGGGAGCTCTGGTGGCTTACTGGTAAGGAATTGTGCTACTCACCCAATAGCACGTGGTTCAAATCCACTAGCTGCTCTGTGAGAAGATGGGCAATCTATTCCCATGCAATTAACTATCTCAGAAAACTCTGTAGGATCTATTCAGTGGTACACAACGACATGTATGTGTATACACACTATATCTAGATATGAATATGTTGTTATGTGTCATCGAGTTGACTCTGGGTCATAGTGACCCTGTGCACAATAGCTCTGAACTTTGCTCTATCCTAGCTAAATCTCACTGCCTCTGGCACACCTATCCCCATTACCCCAGTTACTGTGTCAATCCATATTATCTGAGTCTCCCTTTCTTGCACTGTCCCTCCACCCTTCCAAGTATGATATCCTTCTCCAAGGATTGGTCTCTCCTAGCAATATGCCCAAAATATGTGAGATAGAGCTTCAAAATCCTTGCCTCCAAGGAACAGCTTGATTTAACCCTCTCCAGGACAGAACTATTTGCTCTCTTGGCAGTCCATGATATGTTCAATACTCTTCTCCAATGTCATAACTCAAAGGCATCAAATCTTTTTTTCATTTTGGTCATTGTCTCACTCTCTGATGCATAACAAGTAATTGCAAAGACCATGGCCTGTATCAGACACACCTTAATCTCTAGACTGACTTTGTTGCTCTTCAACACACTACAGAGGTCTCAAACAGCAGATTTTCCTAATGTAATTCATCTTCTGATTTCCTGACTTCTGGTGCCAAGAGTGTTGATTGTGGAACTGAGCAAGCTAAATTTGTTAACAATCTCAACAATCCCAATTTCTTCTACTTCTATCATGATGCTGCCAATTGCCCAGTAGTGAGAATCTTTGTTTTCTTGATGTTGAGCTTCAATCCATATTGGAGACTATAGTCCATGACCTTCTGCAGCAAATGCTTTAGGCCTCCTCAGTTTCAGCAAGCAAGGTCGTGTCATCTGCATAATGCAGGTTGTTGATGAGTCTTCCTCCTATCCTGATGCTACATTTCTCTTCATAAAGTCCAGTCTCCTGAATGATCTGTTCTGCATAGAGATTGGAAAAGTATAGAGATAGTATATGACAGAGAAAAGTATATGACACATTCCTTTCTTGATTTTATACCATGCACTGTTTCCTTGCTGTGTTCTAACAACTGCTTCTTGGTACAAGTATAGGTTTCACATGAGCATAATCAGGTGTTCTGGGATCCCCTTTATTCTCAAGGTTAGCCACAATTTGGTGTGAGCCACACAGTCAAATGCCTTTGCATAGTTAGTGAAACATAGATAGGCATTCCTCTGGTACTCTCTACTTTCAGCCAAGACCCATCATCTGACATTGGTGATAATGTCCCTAGTGCCATGGCCTCTTCTAAATCCAGCTTGTATTTCTGGTATACATGTTGTTGTTGTTGTTGTTATGTGCTGTCGAGTCACTTGCAACTCATAATGACCCTATATACAACAGATCTGAACCATACTCTATCTTGAGTCAATTTAATTGTATCTGACATGCCTGTCTCTATTACCCCAGGCACTGAATCAATCCAGCTCATCTGAGGTCTTCCTCGCCTGAGTTATCCTTCCACCCTTCCAAGCATGATTTCCTTATCCAAGGACTGGTTCCTCCTGGCAACATGCCCAAAGTATAAGAGACAGACTTAAACAAAAAAAAAGGGACAGAACTTCAAAATCTTTGCCTTCAAGGAGCAGTCTGGTTTCACTATCTCCAGGACAGATTTGTTTGTTCTCTTAACAGTTTATGGTATGTTCAATACTCTTCTCCACACCATGACTCAAAGGCATTGATTCTTCTGTGATTTTTAGTCATTGTCCAGCTCTTTTATGCACAGCAAGTAATTGCTAACACCCTGACTTGGGTAAAGTGCACTTCACTCTTTTAGACTGACATTTTTGCTCTTCAGTACTTTGGAGCGGTTCCTGACAGCAGATTTTCCCCATTTCATCTTTTCATTTCCTGGCTGCTGGTACAAAGAACTTTATTATAGAACGAAGCAAGCTGAAGGCCCAGAGGCCACTGACGATAGCTCCAAAAAGCTCAGAGTCCCCCAACAGTGTAGAGTCCTCCACTGCCGCCTGGAGTCTGTGCTAGGAGCATGAATATCACAGGAGAGTGAAGTAGAAATGGGATGACAGAGCATATGCCTGCTCAGCCCAACTCTTGTTTGAGAACTCAGGCCTCTCACTAATTCTGTCCTCTCATTTCCACTCCACTCCTCTCCACTCCTCTGTCATATTGATCCTCCTTGAACAGGAGTGGCAGGCTCCAGGTGGTAGTGGGAGACTCTACTGGTGGTGGTGGTGGTGGAGTCCATGTGGTGGTGGTGGGACTCTGGGCCTCACAGTTATAGGGCCAGTGACCTCCAGGCCTCCTGGCAGTGGGGTCAGCAATCTCTGGGCCTTCAGCTTGCTTGATTACACACACACACACATGCCAGGCTGTTAACAAGAAAAGTCAGTAGTTAAAACTACCATCTGTCCTTCAGAATAAAGATGAGGCAGTCCCCTCATGTAGAGATTTACAGCCTGCTTCACAGGAGAAAGATGGGAAATCTCATATGTGATTTACAGATTCAGAAAACCCAATGGAGGGTCAGCTATGAGTTGGTACTAACTCAATGACAATGAAAGAGTGACCGTGAGTCAGGACCAGCCTGAAAGTAGGGCATTTTATGTTTATATGTATATGACTTTCGCCATGTACTTTGGGCAGGTCCTGGATAAAAACATCTTGTTTGATAATGTAGGGGGTTATTGAAATATAAGAAAATCTTCCAAAAAAAAAAAGAAAAAGAAAATCTTCCATGAGATTGGCTGACACATTGTCTGCCTACCATGGACTCAAGTTCAGCAGCACTTGTAAGGATGGTTAGAGACAGCATAGTGTTTCAATTTGTTTCATGGAGGCCACTCAATGTTGGGATGACTTGCTGGTACCTGATAATAACAATTATGTATTATGATGCAGGATAGGGCAAGTTTCAGGTCTGTTATTCATAGGGTCACTATGACAGGTAATCGACTCAGTGGCACATAACAACAACCGTATAACAGCAAGAGAACTTTTTAACATTGGCCTGAAAGTGCAAGGGTGGAGGCTGAAGAGCTAGTGAGCACACCTGGGAAGCTGTCTTGACTGAGGAATTATTATCTTGCTACCAACCTAAATTATAACATGTTAACTTCTTCACTAAACCCTATAACCTTCTCACTCCAGTAGCAGTGGCAAAGTTTAACAGAACAGCAAGTAATAAATGTTGAAGAAGCTGTGGCGAGATAGAAACTCTTATATACTGTTGGTGGAATTGTAAGATGGTACAACCATTCTAGAAGGCAGTTTAGTGTTTCCTCAAAAAGCTGAACATAGAAATTTCATATGACCCAACTATTCCCCTGCTTAGAATATACCCTGAGAGAATGAGAACTGAGGTACAGAGACTTGTACACCAATGTTCATAAGTTTGTATATGTTGTTTTTCACACTCAATCTTTCCCCTTTCCTTTATCTCTCCCTACACCCATCAGATTGTGCAACCCTATGAATAACCACCATCCACCCACTCCACCCCTGCTCATCTTCAACCCTCTGGTTCCTCCCTCCTCACCTTGAATTTTTTTTAAACGAATTTTTTATTTTATACTGGTTTACTTACAAAGTTCATATCTATTATTTTTCATACCGGATCTTTCCCATTTCCCTTACCCACCCCTTCCTCCACCCACCAAATTGTGTGACCCTATGATTAACTTGTCCTTTTTACTCCCACCCTCCCCTGCTAGGATCCTCATACACTTTCTACAATAATGGTCTTATACCACATTTGTCCTTATGGGACTGATTTAGTTCACTTAGCATAATGCTCTCCAGTTCCTCTCATGTTAGATAATTTACAAAATCATTGCTCCTGTGTGCTGCATAGTATTTTATCGTGTGAATGTACCATAATTTCTCAATCCATTCAATTGTGGTTAGGCGTTTGGGCTGTTTCCATATTCCTGTGATGGCGAAAACATTGCTATGAACACTGATGTACACGTCTCCGTTTGTACCTCAGTACTCATTTTCTCAGGTATATGCCAAACACTGAAATAGCTGGGTCATATGAAATTTCTATCTTCAGCTTTTTGAGGAAACACTAAACTGCCTTCTAGATTGGTTGTACCATCTTACAATCCCACCAACAGTATATAAGAGTATATATATTAGGAAAATCTATCTGTACTCTCGAAGGCAAATACAGTGACTTAAAAATTATGTAAATATATTTCTCCTTCATAAAATACTTTTGACATAAATTGAATCTACACTATAGGGCAGCTCTATTCCTACAGATGAAAACCTAGGTTCTTTCCCAGTATTGTCCAACAGAGGTTTTTGTGATAATGGAAGCATTTTATATCTGCACTGTCTGACATGGTAGCCAATATGATTCCTGGGCAGTCAAAATGTGGCTAGAGCATCTAAGAAACAGAATTTTAAAGTTTCATTTCATTTAAATTACCTGCCACATGGGCTCCTGGCTATCATAGTGGACAGTATTGTTCTATTGGATTCCTAGGGTGCTGTTCCCATGTGCTTGGCTATAGCCATGAGCTGCCTCCACATGTGATTCTCTTCAGCTGGAAGGCAGGAGAGAAAAAGGAGGAGCTTGCCCCTGTTTCACAGCCCAGCCCCAGAGGTGAAAGTTCTTTCACTCCATTAGAAAAGTTGGTCATGTGCTCCAGAGCCTAGGAAATGTCACCCAGCCAGGCTGCCATCCACTGGGCCTCAGTGGTACCACTGTGCAGAATGGACAGAATGCATTTTAGATGATAAGTATAGGAACAAAGCTCTATCAATCCAAGATATATTATTTATTCTGTCTACAGCACTGATGGATAAGAACATAGCCTTGAATATTCCTTGCAATGATCACTCTATATACCCAGAGTATGTAGCTGGATAGTAGGAGCCATTTGCTTGGTTCAACTCCCACTTCAGACTCATTCATTCAACAAAGGAATCAATCCTGAACTATGTGCAAGGCACAGAGAATAATTTGTTGTTGTTGTTGTTGTTATGTGCCATCAAGTCATTTGCAATTCATAGCGACCCTATGTACAAAAGCCCTAAACACCATTCTATCCTGTGCCAGTCTCACTGTCTCAAACACATTCATTCCCACCAATCCACTCACAGAATCGATCCATCTCATTGAGGGTCTTCCTCTACTGCACCATCCCTCCACTCTCTCAAACATGATGTCCTTCTCCAAGGACCAGTCCCTCCTTGCAACATGCCCAAAGTACGTCAGACGAAGCTTCAGAATCCTTGACTCCAGGGAACATTCTGGCTTCACCCTCTCCAGGACAAACCTGTTTGTCCTCCTAGCAGTCCATGGTATATTCAACACTCTTCTGCAGCACTACAACTCAAAGGCATCAATTCTCTTTCTATCATCCCTATTCACTGTCCAACTCTCTGATGCATAGCACATAATTGCAAAGACTAGAGCCTGGATCAGGCATACCTTAGTCTCCAGCCTGACATCATTGCACTTCAATACTCTTGAGAGGTCCTTCACAGCTGACTTTCCCAATGCAATTCATCTCCTGTTTTCCTGGCTGCTATTACCAAGAGTGTTGACTGTGGAGCCAAGTAAACTAAAACTGTTAACTATCTCAATCTCTTCACCATCCATACTGATACTGCCAATTGGCCCAGTGGTGAGAATCTTTGTTTTCTTGATATTGAGCTTCAATCCATATTGAAGACTGCAGTCCTTGACCTTCTGCATGCTTTTCTGTCAGATACTATTATATATATTATATATATTTTAAAATTGAGACAGACTAGGAAGAAGGGCTGGCCATCCACTTTTTACAAGCCTTCAAAAACCCTATGCACAGTGGAGAATAATTAGTCGGATTTTTAATAGGATGGATCTCACAAATGCCATGGCCTTCCCTGATCGTGAACCTTTCTTTGACTCCTCTCACCTCCTATAATGAGAGCCCAATTGAGTCGGCCCCGAGATGTATTCTGTACTCTATGCCTCAGTTTCTTCACTTGTGAGAGGGAATATGAACTATATCACAAACTGTCAGAAAAGGAAACAGATGCGTTTTAGAAGAAATACAGCCTGCATGCTTCTGAGAAGAAATTATGATGAGACTCCAGATCATTTACTTTGGTGATAAGTCATCACAAAAGACTGATTGTTGGAAAAGATAACACGTTTTGTCAAAAGCAGAGGGCTGGTAAATGAGGGAAACATCCCACAAGCTAGACTGATCCAATGGCTATGACAATGGACTCCAACATGGCAAACATCATCAAGATGGTCAGGTCTGGGCAGCGTTTCCTTCCGTTGTCATAAGATTGTTGTACGTTAAAGCCAACTCCAGGGCTATTAACAATAACAATGACCAAATGCGATAATAATGCTGACTTTTCAGCGTTACTCTGAAGAAGGGGTTGGATTATTTCAATACAAACTTTGGGTCAGCATTTGGCACAGTATAATGCGTTTGAGAAAGATCTGGGTTTTTCTTACTATTGGGTACTTCTCCTTACAAACTCATTTCCTAGAGTTGGTCCATCATACTCGTGTTCCTCCAGCCGTGCCTTACACTTTCCGTGGCTACAGGTGAGTGAAATCCTAGGTGTGGCCTCCTCTGTTCTCCACCTCTTCCCATGGGATCTCATTTTGCTCTCTGATTTACCTGCTTTGGTTATTTCTCCTTAGAGACAAACGAAGATTGTTGTTGTTAACTGCTGTCAATTCACCTGAGACTCACAGTGACCGTATGTACAACAGCTCTGAAGCCTGCCCTGTCCTGAACCAGTCTCACTAACTCTGACACATCTACCCTCATTGCCCTAATTACAGTATCAATCCATCTTATCCGGGGTCTTCCTCTCCTGTGCTGTCCCTCCACCCTTCTGGGCATGATGTCCTTCTCCAAGGACCAGTCACTCTTGGCCACATGCCCAAAATATGTATGGAGCTTCAAAACCCTGGCCTCCAAGGAGAAACTTGGTTTCACTCTCTCCAAAACTGACCTATTTGTTTTCTTGGCAGTCCATGGTATGTTCAGGATTCTTTTCCAGAACCATAATTCAAAGGCATCAATGCTTCTTCTGTCATCTTTAGTTGTTGCCCAGCTCTCTGATACATAGCAAGTATTTGAGAAGACCATGACCTGAATCAGGTGCACCTTAGTCTCTAGACTAACATTATTGCTTTTCAGTACTCTGGAAGGTCCCTGACAACAGATTTACCTAATGCATTTCATCATTTGATTTCCTGATTGCTGGTGCAAAGAGTGTTGATTGTGGAGCCGAGCAAGATGTAACTATAAACAACCTCAATCTCTTCTCCATCTACCTAGGTCAATTGGCCTAGTGGTGAGAATCTTTGTCTTCTTGATGTACAGTCCTTGCCCTTGTGCAGGAAGCCCTCCTTTTCTTAGCTCTTACCTCACTGCTGGTTCTCTTTGTGCTTTGGCCCCTAGACCTTATATTGCCCGAGTTAAATCCTATTTCATAGTTACTTATGAGGGCCGTGGACTCTTCAGCTTATTGTTCCAAGCCTCAGCTTACTCCTTACAAAGGAGGGAAGTGGAAGGACTAGGAATCAGGTCCTGCACAGCTGCAGAAAGAAAGAACTTAGAGGGCGCTTCTCCTCACTGTCCTGACACACTTGGATGAGGGTGTTAATCATTAGGTCACCAGAGTCCCTTAAAATGGTTTCTATTTTCATGAAAATCAAGGGGGGTTTCCCCTTTCAAAGCAGTCACAGGACCAAGAAGAGGCTGGAAGTCAGGAAGGAGTCAGGGTATGCTACTAGGCATAGGGGAGAAGGGTCTAGGTGTTCAGGGAGAGCAAAGAGCAGCTCCTTTAGTTAGCCTGTAGCCATTTCTGATTCTCTCCTGTCCTCCTCCTCAGAACCAGGCCTGTGCCTCAGACAAGCCTCCTCCTCAGGAGCCAACTCTCCCCTCCCCTCTGGCTCTCCCCTCTCCCTATTAGGTGTTAGGTACTGAGCTCCCCCCAGGTACTCAGAAGAGCAACATCCAGATGCTTTCCATTCCACAGACCTTTTCTTTTCAAAGGACTTTGAGATTATCATCTCATTTCAGTCCTCCACCAGCCCTGTGAGGTAGTACAAAAGGGTAATTCCCACTCCTTTTCAATTTGTATACAGAACAGATCATCCGAGAAGCTGGGCTGTGTGAGGAGGAATGTGGCATCAGGATTGGTGGAAGAATCTTCAACAACCTGCGTTATGCAGATGACACAACCCTGCTCACTGAAACTGAGGAGAACCTGAAGCACTTGCTGCTGAGGGTCAAGGACTGCAGCCTTCAGTATGGATTGAAGCTCAATATCAAGAAAACAAAGATTCTCACCACTGGGCCAATTGGCAGTATCAGTATGGATGGTGAAGAGATTGAGATAGTTAACAGTTTTAGTTTACTTGGCTTCACAGTCAACACTCTTGGTAACAGCAGCCAGGAAAACAGGAGATGAATTGCATTGGGAAAGTCAGCTGTGAAGGACCTCTCAAGAGTATTGAAGTGCAATGATGTCAGGCTGGAGACTAAGGTGTGCCTGATCCAGGCTCTAGTCTTTGCAATTACGTGCTATGCATCAGAGAGTTGGACAGTGAATAGGGATGATAGAAAGAGAATTGATGCCTTTGAGTTGTGGTGCTGGAGAAGAGTGTTGAATATACCATGGACTGCTAGGAGGACAAACAGGTTTGTCCTGGAGAGGGTGAAGCCAGAATGTTCCCTGGAGTCAAGGATTCTGAAGCTTCGTCTGACGTACTTTGGGCATGTTGCAAGGAGGGACTGGTCCTTGGAGAAGGACATCATGTTTGAGAGAGTGGAGGGATGGTGCAGTAGAGGAAGACCCTCGATGAGATGGATCGATTCTGTGAGTGGATTGGTGGGAATGAGTGTGTTTGAGACGGCCAGGTTGGCACAGAATAGAATGGCATTTAGGGCTCTTGTACATAGGGTCGCTATGAGTCAAAAACGACTCTATGGCACATAACAGCAACAACCACCACCAATGAATGAGGAAACTGACACAAAACCCCCACTCCTCTCCTCGTCTCATTCAGAAAGCAGCCTGCTAATCCTCTTCCACAAACCTCATCTTCTCTTTGACACCACCCTTGCATACCCCATGCAGGCCACTCTCTGCTTTCTTCTCCTTCTTAGACAGGGATACTCATAGCCTCACACATCCCTGAGTGCCAAACTCATCAGGATTCTCTTTTCCCTTCTTTACCTTACTTGGTCTAATAAGAAAATATGATCATTTAAAATTGTACTCAATCTGTGAAGGTTTACTCACCACTCTGCTCTAATACAGTCCATGTATTCCACTTACCGGAGGACAGTTTCCACATAGGCCTATTGTCCTGATGTCCGCATTAAACTCCTCCCTCTTCACCCCACCTAAATATCTGTTTGGATGATAAATGCTATGGTAGTATTATCACTAACAGAAGATTTAATGAGTATGTGCCAAGTATCTTCCTCCACTCCCTAAAGTTACAGTCACCTGTCCTGATCTGGTGAAGGGAGGTGGGCTTGGAGAGTGGGGATTTGAAGGCTGTCAGCTTACC